AACACCAATACCTACTTCAAACATCAAGACATTTTACCTTTGGATTTGGATAAAGGTCATTTTTGGAGAGGTTTTTTCCATCCGCTCCTGTTAATAACTTATTGCGAATATGAACCACAATCTCAGCAACTTTATATCTGGGAAAAGACAAAGTTTCCATCTTGGGACTTGTAGTCTGAAGGAAGGGGGGGAAAAAAAAGATGAGAAATACAATCAGTAGTTCTCATTGTCTGGAACTTGATAATCAATAAGAACAAAACAAGTCAAGTTGAACTAGTGACACTAGCACTATCATCAAATATTTAATAAGATAAAGACAAAGATGTATATCCTAAAATAAAATTCTACCAAGCACACTCATTTTCTGCTAATTTTCCTAATGCTGTACACTATTATCTTCCACATGGGAAAGAGGATTTTATTTGAACACACAACTGGGAAATCATGTGTTTCCTTTTTCACATTTGAGGGGCCAGACAGAGGTTTTGCATAGCATAAGGCACCATCATTAGAAGCTATATATAAGGGATGATAACACACGGAAGGAAAAAAATATCATATTCTGATTCAAAATTCTATTCATTACATACATAATGAGATGACTATTAAAGTTTAAGATGCAAGAGGAAAAAAAATCAGTAAAAACAGATGCAGAAATTCTTAAAGCAAGAACTTTAAAAAACAAAACAAAAACCCCTTTTCCCTAATGTGTTCCTATGGTGAGTTGGTCCTGTGCCCCGCTAAAGCAGCAGTTCTCACAGTTCTGTACCCCCTGCTCTTGTAGGCTCATTTGCTTGGAGACATTTGGTTGTCAGGCCAGGAGTAGCAATGCTGCTGGAATCTAGTCAGTGGAGGTGGGAATGCCGCTAAACGTCCCACAACATCTATCTACAATGGCTCCTCACAACGAAGAATTATCCAAAATGCCCACAGGATAAGGTTAAGAAAGCCTGTCCTAGAACTTGCATTTAACCTTGTGGCTATGTACTGAGATTTCACTTACAGAACTCTGACGCTACCTGGAGAGTCCAATAAGCTAAGACTCATTTCTTTACCAAGAAGAAGAGGGGCCTTAACCTCTTGCTTAAATACTAGTTTAATTGCCCAAAGATCCCTCTTTCCCACGATGTCCCAGGGAAGAAGCCAATGTGGAGACCCAATGTGAACATACTCAACTTTGCAGATATGCCGATATTCTGAAATGGCCACAATTCTGGAAATCTTGTTTTCTTTTTCAGGTTCCTAATGTTTCTTAGAACATTAGGGTTAAAAAGAAGCACTGGCAAGTAGCCTAACTAAAGCTATTTTAAAAGATGATTATAAAAACTGCCTAGTTCCATATAAACCCTTGAAAGCATCACAGTAGTCACTCTCAAGTAGACTCCCTTCCAAATTAAGGAAGTTTTCTAATAACCATGTTTTTACACTCCATATTTCCTCATACTGAAAGGAGGCTCAATCCCTTACACCGGCCTGAGAGGCACCAAGGAACTTAATCTAGCATGCTTCTGATCAACACAGCCTAGCTAAACCTACATGTGTGTATTTGCTGCCTTTTGTCTCACTCTGCCTGCTATTAAAAAAAAGATGGAGGTTGGAGACAGAAAGGTCTTCAGCCCTTTCTTGAAGCTGGCTTTGAATAAACCTTTTTCCTGCAAAGGAGCCAGAGTTTGGGGGAGCCAGAGCAGTAAACCTATTCATTCCATACCACAACTGTCCATCAAGGCAACTTTTTCCACTTCAGAGTGGCTCTCACAGTTAAATAACTCTTCCTCGTGCTGTAATGTTTGTTGTGGAATTTTGGTCATTGCCTTGATTTCTAGTTACCACAACTTCACAGAATGTATCAATCCCTGTTTAAATGACAGTTCTTTCAAAAAATGTGAAGACTGTCATTGGGTCTCTGCTAAGCCCTCTTATTCTAGAATAATTTCTTTACCTAAGAGCAAGCCCTTCCATCTGTGAGAGGAAAAAAAGCAAACTTTCCCCTAGTTCAACAGCAATCAACACTGAAAGCTCATGACAAGACTGGGATGAGTGGTGCCTGCACACACCAAGCAAGTTGTGCATGTGGCGCCAGCTAGGTGTTCACTAGCTACATTCATACTATCTACCGGATAGATTTAGATCCTATAGGCTAAGGGCTCAGACTATCTCCTCAGCCCACATGCCAATCAGAAATCCCACATCATTTCACCTGTGCTTCTGACCAACCTGCTACTTATTGGAGTTCACACCATCTCCTTTTTGGGTTCACTTAATTTGCTGGACAAACTCACAGAACTCAGGGAACACTTATGTAACAGGGACTTAGGCTGCTTTTGCTAAAAGCAGTGACTTCACTTAGGTCTGGAGATGCCCCACGGATAACTAAAAGCAGGATAAAGTTTGGCATCTCTACCTTCATTTTGTACCTGTCTCCTTTGTCACCTTAAACTCTAACCTGCTCAGGTAGGTATGCAAATCATTTAAGAAATATTTACCTAAAAATTAGTAATACAAGCTTCATCAGCCCTAAATTTATCTCACCTGTCCCCTTTAAGACTGAGGCCAGATTTGCAGCATCCAGTTTCACACCCAGGAGTGGCACCTAGAAGTGTCCACACTTTGCCCTATATAGCAGATCCTATGTTACAGGCACATCACTCCAGGATAAGACAGATTCATCCTCCAGGCAGGAGCAATCATCTCATGGGAGCCAACCTGCCCCCTTCCAGGATCCCAGGTCTGACAGATAAACATTCTAAGCAACAAGTGGAAATTGGACTTCAAGGAATAAGGACTTCATGAGAGCTCCTGTATAGAGCCAGGACTGAGAGAATGATAGGCCAGACCAGTTTGACCATGATGGTTTAATTATGCAGACCTCCTGACCTGATTCCTCCTCTATTTAAACCTAAAGCTGCCTTCAAACTGAAAGACAGGGCTGAGATGTTGGATCTTAGCATAAGTCTTCCCAATGTAGCCATATAAAGTTTTTTTCTGCTTTTCACCATTCCCATTTCTGTATGGTTTGGGGAATGAATGGCTGGACCTAGTTTGTTGGGATCCCAGAACATAGCCTAGGACTCCTGCAAAACATTTACTGGCAAATTATAAAGAAATATTACAAGTGATGGAACACCAGATGAAAGGTCAGGTAGGGCAAGGTATGAGGGAAGGGGTTACAACCTCCAGGAATACTGGGGTTCACATCATCTGGATGGTCATCAGAAACTCTTCAAAACCAATCCTTGTGGGTTTTACATAAGTTTATTATATAGACATGATTGATTACATTACTGGACACTGGTGATCTGTTCATTCCCTGAGATTAGAGGTGGGGTTAAAAGTTCTAATTCTCTAAGCCTGCCTACGTTCTTCAGATGAAAGCCCATCCAGAAGCTACCTAGGGGATACCAGCCCTCAGTCCACCGCTAGCTCATAAAAGGTCACTTATCACTTTGAAGACTCCAAGGATTTTAAGATTTGTGTGCCAGGAACTCAGGATGAACACCAAAAGCATATGTAAAATATTATACCCTCATACTTACCTTCCTCTAAAATATCATTTTGTCAGTGTCTTCCTAAAATATAATGCCCAAGCTTAACACAACACTCCAGATATGATTGGCCCAGGGCAGAGTATTAATAGTAAGGAGACTCCTCTGCTGGGCTACAAATGTAACACTCACTCAAACATGTTTATGATGGATATTAAGAACATCCTCAGGGTGACCCCTTATATCAGCTGTATTTCCCCATGATCCTCCATAACTATTGGTAACTTAGGCAAGGGTCTGTATTTCCTACTATTGAATTTCACAACTGCACATTTCTATTTTAGAATGAAGATCACTTTATGTAGACTCAGATCCTTCACATATTAGGTGTCTCTATTACCTTAACTGAGAGGGAAAGCAAGATTCCTATCCCAGGATATTTCTTTGACATTATTTCAAGCTGATTTGGCAGAGAAAATGCAGACTTCTTCAGACAAAGAAAAGGCTCTAAAAAGCTGTCCTTTTGTAAACAGTTTACAAAAGGACAGCTTTTTAGATAGATGTAGATAGTAAACATCGATAGTAAACTTGCTTGCTGTCACCTTCTCCCCTTGGGCCTCCAAAGCCTGCAGCCACCTCCCCTGCCCACCCTCAAGCCCAAGGCACTAAACCTTTGTTTAGCTTTTTATAAACCTCAACAGTCTAGCCCTTCTGTGCTTAGGCACATAAGAAGTTCTGGATTTTCCCTGCAGTGTAGACTATATTCCCTCTGAAGGCTTGCTAGACACTTAAAACTTCCCTACATAAGCAATCTATACTTTCTGCTAAGCCATATATTTAAGACCCAATGAGGAAAGATTGCAGGTCACTCTTCCAGAACAAAGTAGATCTTATTAGAGATGGTCACGATGGACAGGTGGGTGGGAAATAACTTCACAGTCATCACCGCACGTCCCTCTCCTGATGTCCTGGGCTCCTGACGTCAGTTTAACGTCTGCAAAACGTCTCAGGCACCATATTTGTACAAAGGTACAAAGGACCTTTCCCATCACACCAAACTCAAATGTTCTGCTTGGTTCCAAAACCTTGGAAACCCGATGAACTTCCCCCCGACTTGGCCTCGGCCTCCCGCGTCTCTGGGGAATCTCCTCCGCCTTCAAGCCGCCCTGCCCCGCAGCACACCGGGCTCTGGGCACCGGGAACCCGGGGCTGGACGGAAGGCCCCGGCCACCGGCTCCTCACTCGCCCAAACGGCCCCACTTCAGACACGCCCTGGGCCGGCGGCTGAGGAAATCCCGACTCAGACCCTCCACAGCGGCAAACGCTCGAGCGACGGTTCCCTGAAGTCCCGGACAGCGCGGCACCCGGCCAGCACCCGGCCAGCACCCGTCCGCCGGAGGCCAGCCGGCTCACCTACACGGCCGCCAAGAAGGTCCCCCGCGCGGAACGGCGGCGGACGGCCTCCCCAGCCGGCGCCGACCGTTGCTCTTTCAAATCCGCCGCTCGCCGGAAGTACCTGTCCTTCCGGCGCCATCCCCGCCCCTTCCTGGTATCGGTGGCCGACCAGGGCCAAAAGACCGTCGCTCCCGGAAGCCGGCCGGAACTAGAGACTCGGGCTCCAGTTTGACCCGGAGCGCTAAGGCGACGGCGGGAGGCGGGCGCCCAAGTCAAAGGAGAATCAAGGTCTAGCAGGAAGGACCACCCGGCACCGAATCGGCGCCTGGTCGGAAATTCGACCCAGCGGTCTTCTCGATGGGGCAGTTGAGGCGCCGCCTCGCCGGGGTGGAGACCCCAGGTCGACGAGCCAGCGGTACGGCCGCCGGCTGCCGCCTCTGCATCTCCAGAAGCCCTGTGCCCAGGCCAGGGTCGGTCCCAGTGCAGTGAGCCCAGTGCTTGGGGCTCAAGTGTGGCGGGCCCCGGTACAGGAGCAGCGGGTCCCAGTGCAGCGAGCCCAGGTACAGGAAGGCTTTAATAAATATCATTCATGATTGCTATAAGTGAGTCTAGTGAAGGCATTGAAGATGCCACCATGGAATTTACAAATCAATCAATAACGTGATATGGTCAAAATACTCCTATGACCTCAGATAGCATTACAAACCCCACTCTTTAGAACCATAGTTCAACTTTTCAATTTTAAGTCTGTACAAACAGAAATACTTTGTCATCCTTTATTTATTTATTTATTTATTTATTACAAGAAATATAAGCACAAGCAGGAGGGAGGGGAGTAAAAGAACCAACATTCCATGAGTTGTCCTGCGTTTCCAGAATCATTCTCAGCATGGCCTCCATTTTAGATTTCACTCTGTATTAGACTCGATTTACCTAACTACACTGACCACCTAACTTTAAATCTGGCTTCAGCAGTGTCTTTAAGGTGATGACAAAACTTGAGAATTCTTTTGCTTCACCCTTCACCTCACAGACCATGTAAGCATATTTCAAAAAGTTGTATTGATCCTTGTAAATAAGATCATTTGAATAAACTTTTTCATAGGTAACTTTAATACTAATATAACTCATATTTACGGTAACATTCTCATTCAACTCTGGACACCATGCCTTTCCTGCTAATGCTGCACAGGGTGGCCAGATCAAACTTCTACTGGTGTGGAAACCTCAGTAAAACTGCTCAGGTGTAGCAGGCCCAGCGCCGGGGTCCGGGAGCAGCGGGTCCCGGTGCAGCGAGCCCAGGTACAGGAACGCGCAGGTGTAGCAGGCCCAGCGCCGGGGTCCCGGTGCAGCGAGTCCAGGTACAGGAACGCGCAGGTGTAGCAGGCCCAGCGCCGGGTCCGGGAGCAGCGGGTCCAGGTGCAGCGAGTCCAGGTACAGGAACGCGCAGGTGTTGCAGGCCCAGCGCCGGGTCCGGGAGCAGCGGGTCCCGGTGCAGCGAGCCCAGGTACAGGAACGCGCAGGTGTAGCAGGCCCAGCGCCGGGTCCGGGAGCAGCGGGTCCAGGTGCCGGAGCTCTCAAGTTCACGGAGTCCAGAAGCAGCGGGTCCAGAAACAGGAACGCGCAGGTGTAGCAGGCCCAGCGCCCGGGTACAGGAGCAGCAGGTCCCAGTGCAGCGAGCCCAGTGCTTGGGGCTCAAGTGTGGCGGGCCCGGGTACAGGAGCAGCAGGTCCCGGTGCAGCGAGCCCAGGTACAGGAACGCGCAGGTGTAGCAGGCCCAGCGCCGGGGTCCGGGAGCAGCGGGTCCAGGTGCCGGAGCTCTCAAGTTAACGCGTTGAGTCCAGAAGCAGCGGGTCCAGAAACAGGAACGCTCAAGTGTGGCAGGCCCAGATGCAGGGCTCCAAGAGCAGCGGCCCCGCGTGCAGGGCCTCAGGTAGAGTGGGCCCAAACGTCAGGGGGTTCAGGTGTGAAGAGTTCAGATGCAGTGGATCCAAATTAGTGATTCCGAGTGTGGCAGACCCAGGTGCAGTGAGGGCCTGTGGCCTAGTGGAGCCCCATTTTCTGACAGATCCCCTGTTCATCTCCAACAGGCTCTGTTCTCCCTCCTCTAAACTGTCACAGCTTCACCTGCTGGGTGAGTTACATTCTTCAAAGAAGGAGTCCCCCCCAAAATCTATTTTTATGAGGGCAAGTGTGGAAATATACATTCAGTACAAGTTGTGATCTTTCAGCTGAAGGCGTGTGGGCCTGTTATTAGAGGAAAAAGCAGTTTTACTGAGGTTTCCACACCAGTAGAACTTTGATCTGGCCACCCTGTGCAGCATTAGCAGGAAAGGCATGGTGTCCAGAGTTGAATGAGAATATTACCGTAAATATTGTAAAGGTAAAATTTCCAAGCTGATTCTAAGCTGCAGAGCCTGAGTTAAAATGTAAAAGACCAGGCATCCTAAAGTTTCCAAAGTGCAGGGATTGGGTTAAAAAGTAAAAGACAATTGTTACAATCATACAAGTCTATTGTTACAATTCCTCTGCTATCCCCGGAACTTGTAA